GGAAAGCAATCAGGACCTGTGGTGAACGGTGCCTGATACAAGCTTCTGTCTTATCTCATTTAGGAAAAACGTCCCAGGAAAGTGGTCAGGATGGAATATTTCTAGAAACATTTACCAAGTGGACCCTGGGCATCCAATACCATGGAAGTCTATAAAAGAAGCTGAGGAAATGTCCACTCTAGAATCACAAACCCCGGAAGAACACTGTACTCCCAACGGGTCTGTCTAGTGCTGGGAGAAACTAGATTGGTAACCCCAGAGACAGGACGCTGGCATGCACGCACGTACGTGTGTGTGCACACACATCCACACGCCATGTTGCAAAAGTCTTACTGCAGTTTTCAGCTTTAGTAACTTCAGAAGGATAAACGCTACAAACTTGTAAAAAAAAACATCATTTGAAAGCTTATTTATATTTCTTCTATACTTAGTTTTGTGAATGTTAAATAATACATTTTAATTTTAATTTTTTGTTTCAGTCCACATATGCTATCTTCAATCAGAGGGGCTGAAACGTTTTACAATATGGCACACGATACGCTTACAATGCACACAAAGAATGTCGTTTATCACATTACATCTCACACTAAGCCCGTAGTCGAGTAAAGGTAATTTTCACACGTGCCGCTGTGAAATCTACATTGCTCCTAATCAAGCTTGTATGGCAGGCTTTTTCTTCTTTCTTTTTTTTTTAACCCTAGAGCACTACTTTTTATTATACCAATTCAATTTTATCTTCCTAGATATAATCCATCCTGTTAGAATCCTTGTGGATCTTCATTCTGTCTTCAGCCACACGGCTCCCCTCCCCATGGTTCCAACCACACACCTTTAACATTCTCCAACGGGCAGTTCTAACCAAGCTAAACCATATGGAGTCCAAAGCAGAACCCTGGGGTGTGGACTCCCAGTGAATAAATACAGTCTCTACCTTCAAGGACTTTATGGGCCAATTCTAATAGAGATCACCTCCAGCACATTTGACATCAATCTATAAATCAGTTCCTTTTGGACAGGGCATTCAATCCATGAAAAATACAACCACCTACACCACTCAGACCATCCATTTCATCTTAGTCAAAAGGGTTTCAAGTGGGGCTCTGTCGAGTGCACTGTGAAATTCCCAGACTGTCTGACACTATTCCTCTGATCCCTCAGGTGAGGGACCCTCCCTATGAAAGGTAAGATGAGGGGGCAACCTAGTTGCAGCTCTGTTGTTTATGTATTCTACTAACAAACATCATGCTGTAACCGTCAAATTCTAAAGACAGATCCAAACAAACAAATAGAAATTAGTTTACTTGTAACCCAAGTTCAAATAAAATCTGGACAGCTCTCAATAATATCTTCTGTGGGCTGAATGTCGAAGTCCTAATCCCAGTACCTGTGAATGGGATCTTATTTGGAAATAGGGGCTTTGCAGATGTTATCAAGTTAAGGTGAGGTCATACTGGATTAAGGTGAGCCCTAATCCACTAACTGGTGTCCCTACAAGAAGAGGGAAATTTGGGCACAGGCATAGACACACATAGAGGCAAGGTCACATGAAGACAGAGGCAGAGATTGGAGCGATACAGCCACAAGCCAAAGAATGCCGAGGATTGCCGACGACCATCAGAAACTTGGAAGAGACAAGGAAGGATTCGTCCCTGGAACCCTTAGAGGGAGCATAGTCATGTCCATACCTTAATTTTGGACTTTTGGCCTCTGAAACTGTGAGACAATAAATTTCTGTTGTTTTAAGCCACCCAGTTTGTGGTACTTTGCTATGGCAGACCCAGGAAACTAACACAACATCTAAGCAAACATATTTAGGTTTAAAGTAATGTCCGTTAACATCAGAATCGAGAGCACTTAGGAATTGGTTGGTAAAAAAACAAGATGGATGTTAGAAAAATCAACAGAGAAGATGAGAGACACTTAGACTCCTGAGCAGGTAGCAGGCACAGCAGGGCTGAGCCTCCAGATCAGATCTCAGTGAGGCGAGTGGGTGAAGAAACTAGTCAAGCAGTTTTGGTGGGCATTGGCTTTGGGGTTGAGGGGTTGGACAAAAGGTGGCATGCGGTGTCAGGCTCATCACCAAGGAGTCCATCGTCGTGCAAGGTAGACATTTCTCAACAAAATTCTGTCACTTTCTAATGGCGACAAATCACAGATTCATCAGTTTGTCATCGACATGTAAGCAAAACCATGTTGAGCTTCCTGTCTCCAACCTGGCATTTTCCTTGACTATTTTTCATCATTCTAAATTAGACAGCGAGCAGTGCAGGGAAAGGATGTGCCGCCTGTCTATCTATAGTGCTCTAGCCACCATTTCCAAGGTGCTAAGACTCCCCTGATTGATGACGGTATTGCTAAAATGGTTACATTCTGAACCAAAACAAGGAAGGCGTATTTTTCCACATGTGCAAACTTAGGGGAGGAAGGAAGCTCCCTTGTGGTTTCTTGTATTGATTTGGTTCCAATGTGGCCCCATGAAATATACGTCTGTAATGGCAAAGCTCCTCCCTGGAAGGACCTTAAGAGACGTCCCTAGGAGCTTTCCCAGCAGTAATTAGGGGGATGTATTATCGCTAATCCCGAACACACTGGGAGCTGAGTTAATTTTGAAAGATAAAATAAAAGTGCTGCCTTGCGGCAAAAGGCCCCTTCTTGGCACCATTAAATGCAGCGCAGCCCTGTGCAGGGCCAGAGTATTAATTCTGAAGATCTCTGTACCCCCTGCTGACACCCCTTTTAAGGAAGCTACTGTGGAACAGGCCAAATGAAGCATCGATGTGCAATATCATTTAGTTAGTACAGATAAGCTGGGCTAAATCGTGCTCAGAGCACTTAAAAATGATTCAAATGTTAATACATTAGCACTGGAACAGGCTGTACAAGCAACAGGAAAATTGCAGTTGTCAAAGTGTGAATTTAGTCGCAGGGTAAGTTCATCCAAGGAAGTAAAATCTCAATTTAGATTCTTTTTCTACCCGACCCCCCTCCCTTCCCTCTCCACGTGCTTCTTTGAGAATGGGGGAGGACGTTGTTACTCAGCAAATGTGTTTCACACCAAGAAATGGTTATATTCATCAAGGGAGAGGATGTGAAGTTCTCACAAAAGTAGCTTGAAATGGTCTTTCACAGACCAAACCACAAAAGATGGGCAAGGTGTCCTGGGTGTGTGTGTGTGTATGTGTGTTTGTGTTTGTGTACACATCTCTGCATATCTGTATGCATTCTTTCTAATGAGAAAGGTTCTAAGGGGAAATTGCAAGGGATTTTCTGGCAGTTTTCTGTTGTACTTCTCAGAAAGGCCCCCTGCCCGTTGTGGCAGGTGCATGGATAGCTGTAGCATCCTGGCAGAGAGCACGTTGTCTGTGGGGAAGGGAAGCCCGGCTGCGGGCTCTGCAAGCCTGGCCAGGTGGGAGTAGTCCCAAGTCTATTTGGGGGTTAGACAGAGACCCGAGGGCTTGGGAACTGTGGCCTACTCTGCTGATTTGAAACTGAGCTGTATTCCAGCTCGAGTTTGACAGGCTGTTTCTATACCAAAGCAACAAATGGACTTTCATTTCAGAACACACCTGGTCTCTCATACCATTCTATCACGAGCAGCTATTTTCTTTACGTTGAAAGTCAAGGCAGTTTATTTTTCTCAAAATGATGCTGTCAGCTCTTCTGCCTGACTCTTAACATTCACTTGTTCTACACAACGGCAAAGCTGTCTCATCCTTAAAAAGGGGTGGGGTGGGAGAGACCCTCCCTGAGGACTTGTGATATATTTATATAAATCTTTATCCCAAAGGGTATGTCTATCGGAGATAAAGATGGAACGCATTTAGAGAAAATTTATTTAGGGGAAAAGAGATGCCAAACCACTCTTCCAGTTGGGTTCCTTGAACCAAAATAAATCTCTTTAAATGATACATCTATACATACTTTTATTAGGCACTGAAAGTTTTCATGATAAAGGGACAATTTTTCATATTCTTATCCCTCCCTACAAACCCTAAGTCATTTTATATATGAAATAATTGTAGTATTCTTAAATGCATATAACTGATAACATGTATATATGCATATTATATAGATACTATGTGTGAACATACATTTGCAGTGTGAGGGTGAGACCACTACCTCACATCACTTATCCTATTATCATTAGTGCTCAAGTATTGTCCATCTAGTTTTTCAAAAGCTCACGAATTTGCTTTTTCTCTACACTCATCTAGGCAAAAATTTCATTATCATTTCAAAAACCATTTCCAATGAGACAGCATTGGATTTGTCGATAAATATGTAATATTTTCCTAATTAAATTGGAAGTAATATTATCGAGAAGAGTCTCTTTGTTTGCTACAATAATATTACCTATGATAGTGTTAAGATTCTCAGATGATTTATAGTATCAAAAAAAATCATTCTTAAAGTCACAAACCTTCATGTTCGTTTTCTAAGACATGTCTTTCCCTCTTTAGGAATTGTTCCCTTTATCGATTACAGAGAATCACATTTAGTTTCTTAATGGAAGGAAGCTACGCACCCTCACCAATGCCAATGACATGCAAACTTGAAGTATTTAAAGGAAAGGGGATTCCAAACCACATTCCCAGTTAGGAATTAAAGGAGCCCACATGAAAGCTGCGCCTAGACACATACTCAATAATTTTATGATTACAAATCCTTCAGCCATAAATTTTGAGAAAGATATATAATTAAAAATGTAGAAATGTATACCATGGTTTTCTATAAAACATCAATTTAGTTATTAAGTGGTTATAAATTAGCCTTTAGTAATGTATTCTTCTAAATGATTTAACCTTTCCAATTATCATTTCATCTGTTTTCTATATTTAAAAAAAAATCAAAGAAATTCAAGATATGGAAAAGACATGCTGGGTGAGGATCTGAAACTGATTTGGTAGCTTTGGAGTTGACATAATCTTGGCCTGGTGTAGCTCATTTTGGAAAGCCGCCTCAAATTTCCCCTGGTTTTGAACTTTTTTTTTTTTCCTTACCACTTTCATCTAGCAAGAAATCATCCTGGTAACGGAACTTCTCCGGTCCACATGCAATAAAAATGTCATCGTCACCAAAAAAGTCCTGAAGGCACATCACCTACAAGAGAAAAGCATGGCACTCAGCGAGGGGTGGCAGAACACCAATTACGACAATGCGCCCACCCCCACCCAAGGAGACATCTGCATAAAGCCACCTCCCGCCTAATGGATCGAAGGGGTAGCTTCTCCATAGGAATTTCAAAAGAGGGGTTCGAGCATCTGTTACTAGTAAGAAACATGTTCTGTTTCAGTTCTGCAGGAAGATGGGATAAGGGAACTAGAACCGGTAACTGTCATATTTATTACTTGATCTATCAATAGGCTCTGAGGTAAGAGCCCTTTGTTTCCATAACAGAGTGGATGCAGCCACACGTGGCAAAGGAGGTCCCCTGCGCTCTTCTAAATGGAGTGCCCCTTGATAGCAACAGAAGTTAGCATATGGTTTTAACAACAAATACGTTTTTTAGTAATTGATGCTGTCGTATGCATACGATAATCACTGAAGAAAAATATTTCTGTCATAATATGAACATCATAATCTCCTTTAGATCCACTCTACCTCCAGCTGAAAGAAAAATGGAATTCTTTATTAAAGGAATAATAAAGAAATTAAGTTATTGCTGAGGCTTAGACATAGAGATTACGGTAACTGTGCCCACCGCCCAAGCTACGCTTAACTCCAAACCTCCCAGGCCACCCACCTTCTTGTTGTCACGCAAAAGCAAAGTTTTAAAGCTAACTTTGGATTCAACGTATTCTCCAATGAGAACTCTAAGACAGCCAAATATCATTTTGCAAGTAAGTGTGGTCAAAATGAATACTTTTCAAGCACGTTGCTCTCTGTCTTTGGATAGGCTGTGTACTATTGTGTTCATAATATGTATAACACCAACTCTGGGAACACCGCTGATTTCTATCTATTTTCAATTTCCTCTGGCTGCTGGGGCAAATCGTAAGGCAGCCAATTGAAGGCACCCATTCAGGGCTATATAGAATAGACTTTCTAATAGCATTTTCCCCTGGATATCTGAGGGCCAGAGACAAACCTCTCTGCAGTGTGAGATTCCTTTGTCCTGTGTTTACTATTAGCTCCTCTCTCATCAGATCGTCTTCCAAATAATCTCTCATTTCCAAATAATTACTTGGCTGTTTAAAAATGAAATTTCCATAGCAGTTTGATAACCAACATTAAGCATTAATTAGGTATGTCTGTGGCTGTCAGTGCTTATTTTGCCTGTGAAAGCTTGAAAACACTGGTGATTTAGGAGGAACATTGTAATCACTGAGGGAGATGAAGCGAAGGGCTTTAAGAGTGGTGTCTGAAGCTCTGATCTCCTCCTTGGTTTAAAAACAGGCCCTTTGAAATCAGAGTCCACTATCCGTTTCACTCTTCTCACTCTCTCTGACTGCAACCCGACCCTGCTCATCTTCACCCTCGTGGTGGCCTACCTGCTCCTATGCAAGGTGGCATCATCCCAACCAACTCTACACGGCCATTTTCATTTTACATGTGTAAGTCTCTGCTGACTGTCTACTGTGTGCCAGTTAGCAAATTGCAAGATGAAGAAGATATGATCTCTCCCTCAGCAAAAATGTGAACAATTAACCCCAAAGAGCAGTATTTCCTAAAGTGTGGATGATCAATAGATTTTGTGCAAAAGAGAGTTCTAAGGCCAAATAGATTTGAGTTTATCCAATGTAAACAGGTTCCTTTGTTTCCAAACTTCTCACAACCCTTAATGTGCTAATGCACACCATGACTCCAAAGAAGACATAGAAAAATGTATTATTTCCCCAAATTATTTGATTCCAGAACTCTTTTCTCACACAGCATTGTATGGACTAGTGTTCTACAGCAGTGGTCCCCAACCTTTTTGATACCAGGGATTGGTTTCATGGAAGACAATTTTTCCACGGGCCAGGCTGGGGGTGGGGAGGTATGGTGAGCAATGGGTGGCTGTAAATACAGAGGAAGCTTCACTTGCTTGCCCACTGCTCACCTCCTGCTGTGCAGCCCAGTTCCCAACAGGTCATAGACCAACCGGTCCACAGCCCCAGGGGTTGGGGACCGCAGTTCTACAGAGTTCTCTTTGGAACTGCACTGATAGCCATCCATAGGTTTCTCTTTCGTGTATTCTCTGGGAACACAGGAAGGAGAGATCAGTTATCCACACTCCTCCTAGGCAGTGATGTTTCTTCAGCTGATAAATATTTAGTTGCTAATTTATTTACTCAAACATTATGATGTACCTACTCTGTACCAAGCTCTGTACCAAATATCATGATGACAAATCTCTGATAGATGAAAAATGTTGTTTTCTAAAGGAAATCATCTTTTCTTTCTGTATGTTCCCACCATTCTCATTTGAGAACATCAGATGACTAACCAGATCCTGTTCATCTACATGTGCATGTTTTATGCTAGTGCTACCTGGACAAACAACTATCATCAAAACTACAACATGTTACACGCAGGTTTCCAGCCAACTCTCTGCCACCATTTTCCTAATGACCATTCTCCAAGCTTGAGACTTAAAGAACAGAGCAAACAACTATCTGTCTTGGATAGTTTAGGCATAATTTTGTTGGCAAGAGGGAAATGAAACCTGATGAACTGATGTTCTTTCCAACCCCGGGATTCCAAGAATATGAAAGGAACACAGGGATGGTTAAGGAAAAGTAACTGTCATCACCCAGCACAAAAAGACAGGGGGAAGTCATTTCAGTGCCAAGCAACATACATTCATTTCTCTCTCAGTCTTCAGTGACTGAAATCAAAGAATTTGTCGAACTATCAGAAACTTTGATATTTTCTGTGTTTTCTGCTCTGCATCATTTCATCACTTTCTTGCTCACAACTTCCCACTGGGGAAGGTAGGTAAGCTCAGTAGATCAAGTTCACATTTATAAAACTGCTCCTTGTTAGAAGCCTTGGTAAAAGAGTTGACAGCAAAGGAGGCTTAAGCACAAGGTTACAATAAAGATGGATTTGGGATAATCTGCGCACTTCAATCATCCATGCCCTCGCACACCACCACTGACCTAGAGGTACCCATAAGTGCATTCCAGCTAACAAAAAATAATAACATAGCAAGATTTATAACCTTCTTCTCTAGACAAATACACTTTGAGAATTTTCCTTGAAGTGTTACTATACATTCTGAAATCAAGAGATTATAAAGGGTAGGAGAAATGGAAAAGCTATGTTTTGCATAATAATCTGATTTTATATATCTATATACAGTGTTACTCCTTTTTAAATATGATGTTCTCAAAATTCAGTGTAGTTACCAGCTTTAAAAAAAAGTTCAATTTGTGGATTAAAGAAACATGCTTCTTGCTACGAGGGGATGGCGACAATGGACCTCTTTCTTCATCATGAAATCTCTGCTCAGCAGGTGTCAGATGTTGGAAGCATTCATCAAGATTAGATACAGGCCAGACGCAAAGGCAGAGGTATCAAGTTTGAGACATGCAAGATGTCCAACCTATCTGGAGAAGCACCTTTCTGAGCTTTCCTGTTTCACCTTCATGCTCCTGGACCTCCCAGGAGAGTTGGTATTGCCAGGGCCTGCTCTTCTCCGTGGTTTCACGATGAACACGTATTCTGCTCTTGCAATATCTCCCAAATCCAGGACTTTCCCTGCCCCCTGCCCGTCTCCCATCGCCATATCAGTCCAGAGCTCATCCTCCTACCCGTGGACCTTGGCATTCTCTCTTGTGGATTTTCTCGCCTCCTATGTCCTTTCTCTCTAATCTATCCTGTTTAATTCTATCAGTCTACTCATCCTTAGCAAACCTTCAGAATCTCTCTGCATGGCAGTCTTGCCATTCTCGAGTTAATCTTTCTGAGCCTGGCATTGTGGATGCCTCAAAATCTGGCTCCAACCTACCTTTCAAGATTCTGGTTGTTTGAGTTGTGACATAGAGTCTGATACTTAATAAGCATTTGTTAGATGGAGGGATGGATGGATGCATGGACTATGCTCTAACCTGAAATATGTCCCAATTTATCCACTTTACCTATGATCTAAAAAGGGCTTGTTCTTTCCTACTTATGTGGGTTTTTGTATTAATTTTTTTTTTTCTTATTTGGTATCCCTTCCTATCTACTCTTTTCCTATTCAAATCTCTTCTGTAGTCCAAGGCTCAGTTGAAGATTCAAGCCCTACCTTCTCCATCCATTCCAATCCAAAGTAACTCATCCCTGCTCTGAACCACTACCCATCATTCACCATCATTCAATAAATGTTTACCAATCATCTATTATTTGCCAGCCACTGTGCTAGGTCTCGAGGATATGAATGCCTTCACCCTTAACCTCTTCTTTTCCAGTATATATGTCTACAGACTTATGATCCAAAGAATTCCTAACATACTGCTGGGACTCAGTAATTCAACAGAGAGCAACCTACATTACCTTCTAGTGGTTTTGTCAAAGCCCGAAGTCAGGTGGTGTGACTCCAGCCCCTGCTCTGCCAAGTCAGGAAACCCCAGTCAGCTATCTTGAAATGAGTCCTGTTTCTAAAGACCCTAAATTCAGTCATGGCAGAGGCAGAATCTCTTGTTGGGTGCCATTCTTTGGCACCATAGAGATGTCTGCTCTGGCACTAGTCTCCAAAAGCACAGCACTGTCATCAGAGCCCAGGTTCTGAGTTAAATTAGAAAATCTCTTTGTGCCTCGGCGTACCATATCAGTTGTTTTAATGATTAGATGAGTAAAGACCATGAATCTGTAGAGAATAAGTCTTTAATAAATTTTTGCTATTAGTATTTTTATTAGCCCAAATGTATTTTTACTTCCAAATGAGTATAAATCAAATGAATACTTAATAGAAAGGAAAAAAAAATTTAAAGCAAACACAGACCCCGGTGCAATGGTTCATGCCCATAATGCTAGCACTCTGGGAGGCTGAGGCAGGAGGATTGCTTGAGGTCAGGAGTTTGAGACCAGCCTAAGCAAGAGGGAGACCCTGTCTGTACAAAAAATAGAAAAATCAGCCAAGTGCAGTGGCACGTGCCTGCAGTCCCAGCTATTCGGGAGGCTGAGGCAGGAGG